AAAAAAAACTGATGATCACGCTACCTGACAGACCGCTTTCGTCTCAAGATATTATAAAATATGCCGGAAAGTTGAAAATCAATCATTTCCGTGGAGTCTTTTCACGTGATAACTTACTTAAAAAACCGCATATGATTGAATGTGGTATATTTAACTTGGATATATCTTCAGGCGACGGAAGCCATTGGGTAGCGTTTTATAAAAATAAGGACAAAGTTGTATATTTTGATAGCTTTGGTGGTTTGTCACCACAAATTGAATTACAACATTATTTCAGACAGTTCAAAATAGTATACAACTATTCCAACTATCAAGACTTCAAAACATTTATTTGTGGTAATTTATGTCTTGAATTTTTACAATGCATGAATCTATTACATTAAGTTTTACTGGAAATTCAACTGTATTGTCGGCAAATTATTTTCCATCTCTAAACGTTTACGAGAATTCGGAAATAGCTTTGTTATCTTTGCAAACGTTCAAATTCATTTCCAAATATTATAAATCCAATTAATTACAATCCAATTTATTTAAATCCAATTACAACCAACTTCAAAGTCATTCGATACATGAGTTTTTCCCGAGTGGGAAAACAGGAACAAAGGTTGTTCAATCTCCGGTAAACCTTTTATATTACAGATTAAACAAAACAGATATTAATTTAATTACTGTTCAGTTAGTTGACCAAAACAATAATCCAATTGATAATTTTAACGAGACGTTAACAGTTGTTCTGCATATTAAACGTCACGGATCTCATCATTAAATTTATAAAAATTTTATTTTGTAATGTATAAGTCAGTTATTTTAAGTTTAACTGGGAATGCTACCATATTATCTGTAAATTATTGTCCACCTATAACCTTTACGATGACTCAGAAATAGCCTTGTTATGTTTACAGTCATTTAATTCATTCCCAAATATTAATGAAAATAATAATAAATTTTCTATACAAGTAGTTGATAATGAAAACAATAATAATCCTATGATATGTTTTATTACATTGGAAGAGGGTTGTTATGAAATTGAAGATATTAAGGATCGAGTTAAGAAGCAAATAGTTGCCTATAATAGTAAAAACTTAACCAATTTAACATTCGACATTACGGTTGATCCTGATGATTTCAGATCGTATATAAAATGTAATGGGATACTACACTTTGAATATCCATTTAGTATAGCACCTGTATTCGGTTTTGAAAAACGAGTATATAATCCATACAACATTCTTCGATCGGAAAAAGCTGTAAATTTAAACACAATTAATTCTATAAAAGTAATGTGTAATATAGCTCAAGGATCATTCAGCAACCATCTTCAGAGTCATTCGATTTATGAGTTTTTCCCGAGTGGAAAGACAGGGTCGAAAGTAATTCAGGCACCGCCAAATTTAATATATTACAAATTGAATAAAACAAATATTGATTCGATAACCGTTCAGTTAGTTGATCAAGATCATAATCCGATTGATAATTTTGGTGAGGCATTGACAATCGTGTTACATATTAAACGTTACGGGTCTTGAGATGGGGTTGAAATTCAATATAAACCCGCTACTTCGGATCAGCACAACTAGTCATAAGACTAAAGTGTTACCAGCAACATCAAATAAGATAAAAAAATTAACGGAAAAAAATAAAAAAATTGTACAAGCTCTGGGTTATCAATTAAAGCAGAATGCCTGAGAGTGATATTTTAGATATAACTTCACAGTACGAAACGGATTCTAAAATTACGAAAATTGAATATCATTCATACACACCGTATACTACATCATTTAATAATAATGATGAAATACGTATATCAATCCAGCAAACGGATGTCTACCCATATCTACACGAAAGCTTTATTTTTTTGGAAGGAACAATTACTGATGCTACCAAAGTGAAACTATCTAATAACGGTTACTCTTACCTCTTCGAACAAATACGATTGGAAATCAATGGGATAGAAGTAGATAGCACACGTATTCTTGGAATCACCAGCTCGTTGAAAGGTTACTTATCCGGTACGCCAGATAACTACAATTGTTATGAAATTGCTGGCTGGAATTTTAAAAACGCAACGCAATCAGAAAATGAAAAAGGTGAATTTAGTGCTTGCATACCATTGAAATATTGGTTAGGATTGTTTGAAGACTATAAAAGAATATTAGTGAATTCTAGATTGGAATTAATATTAACCCGAAGTCATAGTGATTTAAATGCTTTACAAGTTAAAAGTGGTGCAACTGCTACTGAAGGTAAAATCACCTTAAATAAAATAGTCTGGAAGGTCCCACATATAACGGTCGACGATGAAGAAAGATTGAAATTATTGAAACTTATAGAAAAAGAAAAAAGTCTATTTATCCCTTTTAGATCTTTTGAAACTTTTGAATATCCTGAACTCGGAACCACTAAAAAAGTTGTATGGAATTTGAAAACTGCTTCAAAATTAGAAAAACCACGATTTATCATAATTGGATTACAAAAAGGACGCAAAAATTTGCTAACAAAAGATTGTAGTATATTTGATAATTGTAATTTAACAAACGTTAAAGTATTTCTGAACTCTATAGCTTATCCATACGATAATTTGAATTTAGATTTTACTAAAAATAACTTCACCTTATTATATAATATGTATACATCGTTTCAAGAATCGTACTATGAAAAAAGTATTCGCAACCCGATATTGAGTCCTTCTACTTTTCTGACAACAAACGCTCCAATTATAGTTATCGATACTTCGAAACAAAACGATTCAGCCACAGCCTCAGCAGTGGATGTTCAATTGGAAATTGAAGCTTCAGAATCGCTCACAGGTGTGACTGCTTACTGTTTCTTAATTCATGATCGTATTGTAGAATATGTACCTTTTACTAGAGAAGTAAGAAAACTTGTGTAAATATTATTAAGAATTTATTTGTAACAATAAAAAGACTATGATTTAATAATTTGTGTTTTTTCTTGAAATAATTATTTTAGTTTTAAAAATTGATAAATGTTAAATATTTTTTTTGTGTGAGACGAAATTTGGTAGTCAATCAGTGTGAAATTGTGTTACACGGTAAATCTGAGTGCTCCAAGGGGACATTCCCCCCTTGAACTTTTTTTTTCCCTGGAAAAGCTGGCTGTGAACATACAAATATATACTACTTGCTACATTAAAACAGTTAATTTTTATTTCCTGTTCCATAGTTTCATGAAATATTTGAGATTAGCTATTTTTACTATCCAACAGACATGAGACTTTTCTTTTACGGACTTCTGGAATACTTATATTTTCCAAAGTACATGACTGAACGGTTTCTTTGTATAAATTGTTAAAAAATGAGTCATCTGACCGAAAGTTTTGAAGTGTAGTATTCAATGAAGTAATTAATGAAATAGCTGATAACAAATTAAGTTTAGCCTGAAGATTTGCACTTACTTTCACGATTAATTTTAAAATTGGATACATCATACTGATATTTTTATCATATATGATAAATCATCTAACAAAAGTTCAGGTGTTGCTATAGCATACCCAGCAACACCCGTAAACACGCCTATGATCAAATCTAACCAAAATGAAAGCAAATACATGGTTCTTTACTGCGATAATTGTGGTGGTCAAAATAAAAATTAATTATTTGTTTCAATTTTGATTTACTGTACCATGACTCTTGATATTAAATCTATTACTCTGAAGTTTTTTACTGTTGGTCATTCACAAAATGAAGACGATTCCATGCATGCTAGAATTGAAAATGAAGCTAATAGAATCATAGATATTAAAGAATGGATAGGCCATCGCCTATATAAACAAAATAGAGGGTCATGGGGCCGGCCGTGATGAGGAAGAGAGAAAGACTGATTTTATCAATACCTCTCATTCTAGCAGCGGTCTTATCATAAATTTATATTATGTGATTGCTCTCATAGATATTAGGGATTATAAATTTTAAACATATTATAAATTATAATACTGTTATAAATTTAAAATTATATATTAAATTATAATTTATAATTGTATCTGTAACATAATTATTAATTTTATTATTCGACTTATTTACTCTTAATTGTATTCTATTAAAATTGTATATTTATAATTGGAACTATGGTTCATACGTGCAGAATTTGTAATCTTTCATCTAAGGATAATAAAGATCTATCATTTCACAGGTAGGATTAATATTAGTTGTGATTTAAAATGTTAATTGTTCATCACAAATAAGTAAAAAATGTAAATGAAAAAATTTAGCTTAGATATTAAATAGTACCTAATAATAATAATTATGTATAGATTTCCTAAGAATTTGGAAAAAAGACAAAAATGGGCATTAGCCTTAGGGATGCAACAAATTGGTGATTGGCAGTACGTTTGTGGAAATCACTTTAATCGTGACAGTTATATCTTCAGAAACACTATAAAAATATTGAAGACTGATGCTATACAATTGTGAGAATACTATATTTTATTTAATAATGCAAATTAAAGTATAAAATTAAGTTTAAAAGAGACTTTCTTTATAGAATTGTTCAAAATTCAGATGATGAGTCTTGCTCACCGATTATTTGTTCTTCTGCTTCTGATAATTATTCACAGTTTGTATTTTATTAGTGTTTAAATTAAATATTACTATTACTGTACAAAATTGTATTTATCATGTTTGTTTTTTTAGTGTCAATGCTGTAAATTCTACTCCAAATATTTTGAATAATATGTACGTATTTTATTTATTATCATAAATTTAAATTTAAAAAAACTTTCTTTTTAGTGTTGTTCAAAATTCAAATGTTGAGTATTGCTCAACGATTATTTGTTCTTCTGCTCCTGATAATTATTCACAGTGTGTATTTTGTTATTAGTTAAAGCTAAATATTATCATTAATTATGTTGGTTTTTTTGTAGTTACAGAACACCTAAACGAAGGAAGATGGAATTAAATAGTGATGTGACAACTCCCAAAATGTATGTAATTTGTTTCATATTTTTTAAAACTATTTACCTAAACTAAAACACACAGGTTGTAATGACATTTGTTATGACTAGATGTCCTAAAAAAAAACTAATTTGGAGTAGCAATCGATTTGGTGATTTAAGTGCAAGTGATTATGGAACACCAAATCGTGCAGCAAGAAACTTTAAAGTTGCAAAAAGAACTGGCACACAACTAAGGAAAAAAAATAAACATCTCAATAAAAAATGTAAGCGTTTAGAGAAAAAAGTTACAACATTAAATGACATGTTGGACATCCTTAAAAAAAAATCATTAATGACTGATTTTGCTGCTGATAGCTTAAAAGTACCCATCATTATTTAAATTTTAAATTTTACTTGTTTGCTAATTTTTACAAGTTCTTGGCATAAATTAACCCGATTTTTTTTTGTTTACACATAGGTACAGACATTAAAACAATGACATTTCATTAACAACAAAATATGGCAGTTAACAACTTAATTTTTGTTGTATGTTTTATATTAATTTAACAATGTAAATTTTGATATTTTATGTCGTAGATACAGTATTTAATATTTAGTATATTGTATCCTTGAATGTGCACACAGGCGTTGTTTTACTACATAGCACTAAAGCAGGCATATAGATAGTTACAAGAAAATAACTGGTGAGCTAATTATTTAGTTGGTGTTGCCTAATCTATGCCCAACTAAAACTGGTAGCCACCTGAGGGACTTAACTCTTTGAGGGGCCGTGGTTAGTATGCTAACCACTTTTTTTTTTACCGTTCAGGTGCGGTGGTTACTATTTTAACCACTTTTAATATTTTTTTGATGATGGTCAGCATACCAATCACCTTATTATCATCTTATACATGCATCAAACAATATCACTGCCGCTGGTCTGATATCATTTCTCGCGTTTTTCATCATTTATTATCATTATCGATATTTTGATATACGTACTAAATGTTATGGTAAAGAGACATATCGCCCACATGGGTCTTTTTTCTAAAGGAAATTTTCGCCCCTCAAAGAGTTAATGGGACAGAGTATAGTATCTTTTGATATAAGCTTTATGTATGTTGTATCTTGAAGTAAAAATGTATGTATCTAGTTTATTTAGTATAGTCTAGATGTTTAGGTGTAACTAATTGTACTTGTAATATATTTTTTAGCAATAATTAATAAATAAATATCAAAGATTTGGTGATTAAATCTATATTTTATTTTTAATTTTTTTTTTTTTACACTGGCACTCACAGTTTACCTTAGCGATTAAAACTGCTCTTAAAAATTTCCTAAATTACATACTTATGAGTTAAATTTTTTAATAGGCACTGGGTTCAGATGTACTTGAAAACCTTATTAAAAATGGTCTAGCTGGAAAAAAGCAACCGTATACAGAAGAAATTAAACAATTTTCTGTAACCCTCCAGTATTATTCTCCTAAAGCCTATAACTACGTAAGAACAACTTTTAGCAAATTACTTCCTCATCCTCGGACACTGCGTAGGTGGTATATGGTTGTAGATGGGAACCCTGGATTCACTAAGGAATCATTTGAAGCAATTGCTAATGAGTCAATACATCGTCCCCTTTACTGCAGTTTAATCATCGACGAAATGTGCGTAAGACGTTACGTTGAAATGGATAGCCAAAGAAAGATACATGGATATGGGTAAAGAATACTCAAACGAAAATGATAATATACCATTAGCTAAAAATGCATTAGTATTCTTAGTAGTAGGCATTAATGGGTATTTTAAAATGCCAATTGCATATTTTTTAATAGATGGATTAAATGGCGGCTGGGAGCGCAAATTTATTGACTAAAGCGATTGACCTTTTACATGACACAGGTATACATTTATGTTCTGTAACGTTTGATGGAGCATCAGTAAATAGTAAAATGTGTACAGAACTAGGTGCAAACTTTGATACAGAAAATGGAAAACCATATATAATAAATAATCATGGACAAAAACTGTACATTTATTATGATCCAGCACATATGCTTGAACTGGTACGTAATGCATGGAATTCAAATCAGTTATAATAAATTCAAAAGGAGAAAAAATATGTTGGAAATATATAAAAATGTTATATGACATTGAGCAAAAAGAAGAATTAAGGGCAGGAACTAAACTAACCAAACGACACGTCCAATTCCATAATGCAAAAATGAATGTGCGTTTGGCTGCCCAGACTCTTAGTGAAAGTGTAGCAGATGCACTTTGTTACTTAAAAAATCAAAATGAACACTTTAGTGATGTAGAACCAACCGCAGAATTTATCAGATACATAAATAATGATTTTGATATTTTAAATAGTAGATAAAAATTTTCAAAAAATCCAAACAATAAGGCTATTTCAAGTGATAATATTGAACAGTATACACAATTTATGCTAGATTTCATTCCATATATCAAAGGTTTGGAATTTCCCGATGGTGTCAAAGTTATAAACTCTGGTAGAAAAACTGGATTTGTAGGATTTATTTTAGGTCTACAAAATGCAATTTCTATGTTCCATGACCTATCGGCAAAAACAGATTTATATTTTTTTCCCACATATAAGATTAGTCAAGACCATATTGAGACATCATTCTCTGAATCAGAAGTCGTTTGGGATTTAATAATAATCCTACTTGTAGGGAATTTAAAGATGCATACAAGCGAATTATAATTCACAATGAAGTTGTTGGTTCTGTATTTGGGAATTGCTCAATGCTAGAAAATACAAAACATTTGTCTGTCAATGCAAATAAAAGTGAAAGCAATGCAATATTCAACCTAAATAGTAATTGGTTACCAGAAAGACATCTTGATGATCATGATTACTTTGAAACTTACATAAATATGACTAAATATATGGAAGACACATGCCATTACATAGCTGGGTTTGTAGTGAAGAAGTTGTTGAAAAGAGTTGATTGCTAAACTTGCCAGAATTCCCTAATAAAAATTGGATGTAACAACGAAGACCAAAATAGTTTAACAAGTGTGAAGAATCGAGGAGGGTTGATTATTGCGAGTAAAAGTGTTAAGACTATATATGAAGAAGTAGAAAGAATATTCAGGGCACATGAACCAATTTATTTCAGTAGTACTAACTACTAGAAATAAATTATACTTATTAAATAAATTGAAATCCAGATTATATAAAACAAACAATACATGCCTACTTAGTTGCCAATGTCAAACTTCTTTTCTAGATACTCATCAAAATAAACTAATTAATTTAATTGCTGTGACATATCTAGACATTAGAGTTTTCCACGAGTTATGTAAAATAAACGATTCAAAATTAAATCAGGGAAAACAAGGTTCAAAATTAACAAATAACAAATTAGTACATTTCAGACACGAATAGCTATTAAGATTTAGAATACCTATGTTAAAATATTATATTAATTGTTCTATTATTATTTAAATTGTTTTAAAGGTTATACGACAAAATATCTCCATTAAAAATATCTCTACCAAAATATCTCCAGTATAAAATATCTCCGTCAAAATGATCTCCAATACAAAATATCTCCCGATTTATGCCATAGCTATCTGATAGAGAAAATGTTATTGACGCTGATAGTGAGTGTACTTTGTACTTCCCTATCATGGTCCGCTTGGCGCTTACCAATACAGATTAAGTTACAGATAGGTAATTTTATTTGATTATACCTAATCGATAGATAAAAATTTAGACGAGAGAGCCGGAACTGTGTCACACACTGACACTGCGTGACATTGTTTTGTGTTACGTGCATGTGCGTATTAACGTACTATTAAATAAATATGCCTTTAAAATTTGTTAAAAGCCAAAAAGGTAAACAACTTTTAATAAACAATGGATATTTGCATTTATATTATAAAAAGGGTAGTGATAAATTCATTTGGCGTTGTGTTGATTATCAAAAATATAAATGCAGCTCATGCTTTACGTCAACAATGGATGAAACTGGTATGTGTTACACTTTATTTTAACAATATTTGAATTTAAAATACTTTTTTTTAACAATATTTATATTTAAAATAATTTTAAAGGGACAATTATGAAAGAGTCAGTTCATTATCATGCACCAGATATTTCAAATGTCCAGGCAAAAATAGTTATTGAAAAATTAAAAGAAAACGCCTTAATCACAGAATTATCAACAAGAAACATTATTAGTAGAACAATGTCAACAACTGAAGTTGGTGTGGTTGGCCAGTTACCAAGTATAACTTCGATGTCTCGTACAATCCAAAGAGTGAGAACGAAAAATGAAAAACCACCTGAAAACCCACTGACCATTCACGATTTGGTATTACCCGATGAATGTAAGAACATACACGGTAATAATTTTTTTAATATATGAAAATAAAAAATAAAATAGAACTTTAATGTTTGCTACAAAAGAAAATTTGGACACACTTCATACATTTAAAAATTGGATGGCAGATGGAACATTTCGAGCCGTTCCGAAATTATTTTCTCAATTGTATACAATACATGGTTATAAAAATAGAACAACTATTCCGCTTATCTATGTTCTCATGACTAACCGGACTACCAATTCGTACAACGAAATGTTACAAATGCTAAAACATAACAACCCAAATTTAAACCCTTATTCTATCATAATAGATTTTGAAAAAGCATTTGAAAATTTCCGCAAACAAAGATAAAAGGATGTTATTTTCATTTTCAACAATGCCTATGGCGGAAAGTTCAAGAAAATGGTTTACAGGCGTTATACTCTGAAAATGTTGAATTCGCATTACAAGTAAGACATTTGGCAGCTTTGGCATTTGTACCAACAAATAAAGTTATAAACTATTTTGAAAAATTAGTTGACTCAACTTATTTTGTTAACAATGAAAACAATTTATCGACGTTAGTAGACTACTTCGAGGATACTTGGATCGGCCGTTGAACACGTAATCGTAGACGCCCGCCTAAATTTCAAGTCAGTATGTGGAATTGCTATGAGAGAGTTTTGAAAAATAAACCTCGGACAAACAACTCAGTTGAAGGTTGGCACCATGCATTTAATTCAGCATTAGGAGCAAATCACGTTACCATTTGGAAGTTTATCACATTTTTAAAACAGGAACAAGCTTTACAAGAGGTATTGTATTATACAAATTTAAAATATTGAATAAAATAAATTATATTAAAAATTTAATGTATATTTTACAGGTTCGGTTAGAAAAATTAATTTCTGGAGAGCCTAGTCCAAAAAAAAAAAGAATATAAGAACCACGATGAAATGATATTGAACCTAGTGCAAAAATTCAATGAAACTCCAGCCGTTCTTTACTTAAGAGGCATTGCTCAAAACATACAATTTTAAAACATGATTTTTTTATATTTTTTTTTTTACGATTATGTGTAAAATAATATTTTTATATTTGTTTATTTGATTTAATTTTTGCTCAAAACATATAATTTTAAAACATGATTTTTTTAAATTTTTTATTTTAAAATTTTTTGAAAATATTTTGTCCGAAATATTTTGTATTGGAGATAATTTTGTCGGAGATAATTTTGACGGGTCACCGTTTTAAACACACACTTTAATGTTATAATTTTAACTAATTAAATAAATTGAATTCATTATATTATTAGATGACCAAAGCCAGAGAAAAGTTATAAGCTATAAAGGCATAAAGCAGCTAGAAACTTTGAAACTTGAAAGCTAATAGCTATAAATAATAATATTATGTTTATTATTATTCTTTTTTTTTTTTTTTTTTTTTATTAATCAGAAAAATAATATTTAACAAGATAACATATTAAATAAAACCTTAAATTGATTTATCTTTCTCCTGTAAGCTTACGCTTGTGTTGGAGAAAGAGAGTTATAAAGTGGTAGAATTAATTACAATATAAATTATATAAAAATAAATTTAACATTGAAAAATAAGAAATAATTATCAGAAACAAGTTCACGTAAAGATAAAATATTACAACTAGGTAAAAATAAACATAAGAAGACATTTACAAATTACATTTATCATCTTACTTTTTAGATAGCATAATAATTAGTGACCCTATACATGTATTAAAGTTTTTCCATGTTAGTAAATAACCAATCAGAAACCAATTTTTTGGCATACTTTGGTGTTACACAAATTATTTCATTATTCATGGAGTTGAAGATAGTAGGACCTAGATAGTCCAGAAATCTTTGACCATATGCTCTGTTTATTCTCTTATCTTCTACTCTTTTTGAATTAAACCAAGTGTTTATATTTTTAATTACCCATAATATTGCAAATTTCTGGTAAATTAATTTAAAAGGCAAAACGTTTAGCTCTTTATAGTTATGTACAGTTGACCCTACTAAATCTTTTTTACCCAGACATACTCTTATTACTATTTATTTTCCTGCAGCTGTAGCGGTTTGATTACATTCGCAGTTGCACCACCCCAAATCTTTACACCATATTGAAGAACTGCTTGATAAAAGGATATATATACTATTCTGATGAGATGCTTAGGTAAAATTTAATGGAGCTTATAAAAATGATTTAATGATATACGCAAGCGTTTAAGTAAATAATTAATGTGCAGATCCCATCTCAGGTGTTTATCAATAGTTATACCTAAATATCTGATACTTTGAACTCTTTGAATTTTTTTACACGTATAAGTTTTAGCACACTTTTCAGTATTTTCACAAAAGTGAATTTTTAAATCACTTAGAGGGATTTGAGTACTATTTATAGTGAACGTCATGTAAAAGGTTTTACTAGTATTTAATGACAATTTCCTATTTGTTATACTACGCACAACTTTATTTAGCCCATTTGTTGCTTTGTCGTGAACATATTTCCATGTCGCGCCTGAAAAGAGCAAACATGTATCGTCGGCATATGTGATCACTTGGCCATCTAATTTAGTATTGCAAACATTATTAATATATAATATAAAGAGGATTGGACCAAGCACACTTCCCTGTGGTACACCGCAGACAACACTTTTTTTTTTCACCTAGAATACCATTTACGTTAACTAATTGTAATCTATTATCTAGGTAACTAGTGAACCAAAGCAGACTTTTGTTTATTATACCAAAAGTTGGAAGAATTTTTATTAATTCAATATGATTAACTGTATCGAAAGCTTTTTTTAAGTCTAAAAAGATTGCTAACGTTTTTTGTAATGAAACGCTATTGGGTGGTAATTAATTGTTTTATTAATATATAATATTTTAAACCAATATGCTCATTATCTGAGTTTGATATAATTTATATGTTTCGTATTACAATATTTTCTTTTTATATCAATTATTTAAGTTATACTCGTTAGAGTGTACAGTAAAATAATTATTGGGGTTACATAAAGGGGTGGGAATGTGCTTGACATGGAACTCACGGTTGTGGTTCGGAAGTTTGGGTGATTTGACGGCTCGGCTCTAATGGCGGCGGTAGAACGGTAAATCTTCCCGGACAAATGACGTACTCGCGGCGGTTCAGGCTCGACTGATGTCTCGGCTTGAACGGCGGCGGTAGGACTGTAGACGGAACGTTGACGGTAAAGTTTCCCGGACCAATGACGTACTCACGGCGGCTCAGGCTCGACTGATGACTCGGCTGGAACGGCGGCGGTAGGACTGTAGACGTTGACGGTAAATCTTCCCGGACAAATGACGTACTCGTGGCGGTTAAGGTTCGACTGGCGGCTCGACTCGAACGGCGGCGGCTCAGTAAAATAACACGTACACAATATTGTCTCACTACACACTCGGTCGGTGGCGGATGACAGGGAATTTGCCGGGGAAGAGCACGTGGATCGCCGTATTACGGGGTTACCGTCCGGCGTCCGAGTCTCGGGGTAGAGTGCTGGTGTTTAATACGAAAAATTGGTCCGTCTTACAATATTAGATATGGTCCGGTACCAGATTTCTCGTATTACAGCGAGGAGAAGACTGATGATTATCGGTGGCCCGCGGCCTGTATTTCTGTGGTTCCATGGCGGCCGGTCCCGATGAGAATTAATCAAAATTATGATTGAACTTTTCTTTCTTTTCGATGGTTGCTGTTGATTGCTGACATCCGTGTAAGGACGTAACTTAAAGTATGGAAGGCGGTGATTACGAATCTGTTTCTCACGAACTTCTACCTTGCTTTTTTCTTGGTGGAAACTCAATTTTCTTAGCGGGCGGCGTACCGGTTTTCTAGCCGGTGCACGGCAGCGCTATCTGTTTTGCGATGTATTCGCGTAGGCTGTGTTGTACAGTCGGCCGGCGGCGTATTATTACTACGTGAGCGCGCGGCGGTTATCGTATTCATTTGGGTGATGGGACACCACTAGAGTGCACCACGTGTTTGGTGACTCGGTTTTGTTCCATTACATTTTTCACCATTGTCTAGAGAATTACTTATAAACTTAGTTACACTATATAATGCATCCTCTGTACTTAGACCTGGTCTAAAGCCAAACTGATTTTTAGAGAGTAAATTATTAGATTCAAGGTATTTCATTAATCTGTTTTTAATGATTTTTTCTAACAGTTTGGCAAAATTAACAATCATCGATATTGGTCTATAGTTATTTATTTCAGTTCGATTTCCTCCTTTCAATAGTGGAGCTACTACAGCAATCTTAAATTTTTCTGGAAATAAACAGTATTTAATACTTAGATTATATATATGCAGAAGTGGGCCTAGTATAGAATTTATTATGGTTTTTAGTAATTTTACAGTTATTTTATCAACTCCGGCAGCTGTGTCATCTTTCAGAGTTTTTAAAGTTAGCAAGATATCTGTTTCTGTTATTTTATCATTAAAAATGTTATCATACGAGTTTCCATTGAGTGGAATAACTTCCTCTATAGGGTTATCTTCTACTATATTATTTTCAGCTAATTTACTGCCTATATCGACGAAAAAAGTGTTGAAAATATTTGCGATCTTTTGCGGTTCATCTGTGGCATATAACATTTGTTTATTTATTTGTATTGAATTAATTTCTTTAGCCTTATCGACATTTTTATTTGTTATTTCGTTTATTAATCTAAATTAATTAATCTTAATTCTATATTTCTATTATCATTTTACAAATATATAATATTATCATCTCCTAATACTGTTATCTATTTGTGTTAAGACTTCTATAACCTCAAAATATTTTCATGATCGTTCCTCAACGATAAGCATACATGGCCTATCCATTCTTTAATATCTATGAATAGAATTTTAAAAGGCGGTCCAATCTATCAACCTTCCCAGTGGGTTAGTGTGATAAAATGTGCCAAAAAAATTGCAAACCTTATACGGTATATGAAATGCAAAATTAAGATATTTTTGATTTGAAAAAAAAATCATCTGATTTAGGTTATAACCTTGACATAAATGAAGATGCGGAAAAAATGTTATGGCAATCTATCAAAGTTATTCAAATTGAAAAAAGCAACCCTACTCTTATGAAATACAAAACAAGTTATTCTGAAGAATTATTTCAAATAATAAAGATTATACAGAAAATGAGAAATCTATTAATTTAAATTCCAGAAGTAAAAACTTTAACTACACCAGTTAAAATTTCTATTGACAATAAAAAGATATTTTCTATCACTATGTCATAGTAATGCTATTCCCAAAAACCATTGGGCGTTTATGAAAGTTTGCAAGCTGTAAAGCCTACAGACTAATTATGTAACTATGTGATAATTCTTAAG